GAAGTCTAAAACCAGGCCTTAATGTCAGAGGCGCTTGTAACTGGAGAGGTGTCACAGAGCCTCGTGAAGCCTTCTGGAAGCCATCAGCCCAGACCCAGAGTGTATGCTCGGAGGCTGGCTCTGGCCTCTGCCGATGATGCCATTACTGTCGCTCCCCATTTTTTTATGTTTGGGAGGGAACTCCAGATGCCCCTTCACCTCTGCTTGCCTACCACATATTAAAGGATTTATGTATCTATACAAAAATCTGTATTAAAAAGAAAAAATATATATATAAAGTAAAAACTGGCCAAAGAGCCTATTAGAGGAAGTAAAATATTTGAGACCTTACTTAGATGTACTTTTGGGATCTTGCAGTCACAAGACTCTGTTCAAAAGGACTGTTCAGGGCGCCTGGGTGGCTCAGTTGGTTAAGCGACTGCCTTCGGCTCAGGTCATGATCCTGGAGTCCTGGGATCGAGTCCTGCATCGGGCTCCCTGCTCTGCAGGGAGTCTGCTCCTCCCTCTGACCCTCCCCCCTCTCATGTGCTCTCTCTCTCATTCTCTCGCTCTCAAATAAATAAATAAAATCTTTAAAAAAAAAAAAAGGGCTGTTCAAAAGTCAAAAGTTCAAAATTCCATATCCTATTTAAGTTTTCCCAATATGTGAAACCCAAGAAGTAGGCCAACCATTAGCAAGTTATTCCCTGTACCCCAGTGCAGTCATTGGAAGTACAGAGAGTGCTGAAAACTTCAGGGCTGAGACAGATTTCAACAGTTTACCACAATGGAGTAACTCAAATCCCAGGAAATGCACTATTTAGATATGGTAACCAACAAAGAACAAAGTTTGAGCAATAATCTTTTATTATATTAAGAACAACTAAACAGACCATGTCCTACTTCTCATGTTTCAGTGATAGGGGGACTCCGAAGGGTCAACACTTCATGAGACTCAGAACAGAAACCCTCACAATGGCTCCCAAAAGCTCCCTTTGCACACACAGGGACAGTCTGTGGACAGAACCATTGTCTAGGTTCTGTTGCCTCTAGAAACCAGAGGGAAACACAATAGCCCTGAAACATTCCCATGACAATGTGCCCCAAAAGTAGTAACAAAAGCTGTTCAACAGCTTCTGGACCTTAGTCTGATTGCTCCACTACTAACTTTTATGCCACATGACATGTCACAAACCTGGACTCTCTCACATTCTCCCTCAGTCCTCTCTGGGGGCGGGGGAGGGCAATGGGACAAGAGACTATAAGCGTCTGGGATAGACAAAGAGACCAGAGAGAAGTGGAAGGAGCTTTTCTAGGACGTCCCCACCACCAAACCTGGCTCTGGCTTTGCCAGAGCCCCCGCCTGAAGACAGACCACAAGCACATGGCCCTTTGTGGGCCAGGTTGCAAGGAGAGGGGCAGGAAGGACCGTGAGAGAGTGCTGAGGTCAGCTGCTCCTGAGGCTCTGAGTCAGCACCTTCCAGACCAGAGTGGCTGTCGGGAAACAGACTTCTCTCCCACAAAACCCCAAATATAACAGCAATCCAAGAGCTTGAAACCCATGGGCACGGTTCCAGAGCGGGAGCCCCAAGCTGACCACGTGTGCCAAGGAACTGGGCGCTGGAACCCATCACCCACCCAGTCACTGCTGCCCCCTGAGCTGGCTGTAGTGGAGAGACTAGGAAGGAGGAGCGAGGTGCTACATCGATATGCAGGAACAAGTCCTCCCTGGAGCCAGGCTCAGTTTAAAGTCCTTACTAAATAAGCAAACACAACAATGACGTCATTCCAGAAATTGTTTTCCCCACGAAGACTTGGATAGCTTCACGTTTCAACTAGCTGTTGCTTTCAAGTGAAGGGGTGGGGAGGGTAATTGGCTTTTAGCAGTGTTTTTTCCTTCTTCCAAACATATTAGCAAATAGTGTCATGAAACTGTTCCTCCCTTCCCCTCAGGAGCCAGAAAACAATCCTCGGATACATCTTTATCCAGAAGACTGCTTGTGCCATATTGTGTCCATATTGCCTGGGAGCAGGGGCTTCTAAGTCCGCTGACGTGTGCCTCAATGAGGTATTAGAGTCATTCAACTTTAAGGGCTGCTTAGGATATAATATTACCTGATAAAACCAAGACACAAAATCGTACACAGACACACACACACACACACACACACACACACACACACTAACTTAGAAAAAAAAAGTTTGGAAGGAAAGATACTAACCTCTTAAAGTATGACTGACGGAATTATAAACAATTAAACAATTTATTTCATTTCGTTCTACTCTTCTAAAACAGAATAATTCTCCAGCTATCTGACGGAGCACAGTTTTGGAAGGGAGATATGTGAACCAGTGTGGGAGGAAGGAGTTCCTCCAGATGGACCAGATGGTCCAAATTAATCCTAGTCACCAAGAAGGAGGCAGACAGCAAGGACTGACCACATATCTATCAATGGAATAATGTTTCAAATTTTCTTTAATGAATGTGTATGGCTTTTCAAATGGGGAAAAAAAAAGACATCCCACCCCAGCCATCCTGAGATGTTAGTGACTTGAAGTACCGTGTATGTGGAAGTCTCCAGGGCTTCAGTAATCTTCCTTCTCTCTACCCAGGGACATGTGAGAGTCTCTCAATACTGCAGGATTGTATGGAGTGAAGGGAGAGAAACAGCACCCAGGCAGAATTCTGAAATGCAAGATTAACTCAAAACTGTGAGTTCTGGTGGCTGAACAAAAAAGCTATGTATTCTCTCAATTACAGAATATTCCTGCCTCCAAAATGACAAGTTTTCCCTACTGAGACCACTCACACCTCATCTACCACCTGCCCTGCACCGCCAGGCTCTTTGCTGTATTCAGAGAAACCTAACATCTGAGGGAGGGAGAGGAAGTATCTACCACGCGCTAGGCCCTATCTCCTACCAAGCACGACGCCAGGTCCTCCGTCTATGTCTTCTTCAATTTTCAAAATAATGCAGAAACGAAGGGTGGCGAGCCATTTTGAGACAGGAAAACCAAACGTACGAGAGAGAACCCAGGCAGTAGGCTGATGAATTATGGGGATGGAATCTGCACACGTCAGTGGACTTAGAAGCCCCTGCTCCCAGGCAATATGGACATAATATGGCACAAGAAGTCTTCTGGATGAAGATGTATCAGAGGATTGTTTCTGGCTCCTGAGGGGAAGGGAGGAACAGTTTCATGACACTATTTACTAATGTGTTTAGAAGAAGAAAAAAACACTGCTAAAAGCCAGTTACAGACACTGCCAGCCTCCTTGGAGCTTTTTAGTGCTGGTGAAGGGACTGGGAAGTCCACCCCCCACCCCCCTGCTGGAACTCCTGAGGCACAGCCTGGTGGTTTACAGTGGCAGCCCCTCCTGCACTGACCAGAGGTGGTGGCATTGACTTAGAAAGGACCCAGTGCTTGGCGAGTCCTCCTTCTGTGCCAGGCTGTGCCCTAGGTACTGTATACACATGCTCTATTTTTCACAAGAGCTCTAAGCCCAAAGTAACACAAGCATCGGGTGGTGTTACTGGATTTAGACCCAGGACTGCCTGATCCTAAGTACTTTTTCTGCTAACTCAGATAGAACCATCCAGTGAGTCCCAGTCTATCATCTCTTTGCCAGAGGAAGAGCAGATCCCCTGATGCATGGTCAGCATATCAAATCCTAATTCTGCACTCCGTGACATTCCTCTATGACATTCACATGCCCTGTACCTTCTGGGGCAGTTCCAGTTGTGAACATGCTGGTCCCACTGCTCCCGTGGGTGCACTCATACTTGTCTCACTGTGCGGTCTGCCCCAGGAAGTCTCACCCACAATGGGGCCACCCTCAGCACTTGCTCCTTCCAAAGAGAGACGGTCATTCCTCCCACAGTGACAGGTCATTTATATGCTCTGATTTGCCTCCCATGTTTCTGCTTTATCTTCCTTATAATACTCAAATTTCCTTTCAAATCAATACTTCCCAACTGGAAGACCGCTCTCAAGGGAGGAATCCCAGCAACAGCAGAATACGCAGCAGAAGAAACTACAGTCCTACCTAAAATGGTTCCACTTACTGTATTTGCAGGCAGCATTGGTGTCAGACAGAATGCCCCCTCTGAGACACGATTTTACAGTATCTCATCGGAATGCAACTCCCAGAATTGGAAGTGCCCAACTGTAATTTAACTGGAATCCACGGAAAGTCTTACGCATAGATTAGAAAACTTAAGTGCTCAAACAGGACACAACAAAAGCTTGGCTTGACTAGAGTTAACTTGAAAAATTAAGACACTTCAGCTTTTGGTAGTGAAGTTCCAGAACGACTCAACAGTATAATGTGATCATTTAACAGAAAAGAAAAGAGAAAGCGGGTATCTTGTTAGGATGTGCTAATGGAAGCAGAATGTCCAGATCACAGGAATGTTCAGCTGAACTCTGGGCTGGGCCCTCACCCTCCAGAATGACAAATAACACGCTCAGTGCTGAGAAGCACCCTTAACAAACTGATGGAGTCCTCAGAGGAGGAGGAGACGTGGTGGCTAGTGTAGAAAGAAAAGAGAACAGAGAAACATAAAGAAATTTTCAGATGTTTGACAGGCTGTCACATGGAAGAGGGTGTCTAGAATATGAATCAGTGGGTGGCAATTACTGAGAAACAATTTTCTGTTCAATCAAAAGAAACTTCCAAACCATGTCTGTGGGAGGCAGAATGACCGCCCCCAAAGATGACCACAGGAGGCAATCAAGAAGAGACTAAACATCTACCTGAATGGAATGCTGTGCGAGTAAGTCCTGGATGACCCCCACACACCCCTGTGACTCTGGGAGTCCACAGGCCCACGGCAGGTCCTTCTGCCGTTGTATTCAACACGCTGGTCCCCACCCCCAGGCCCGGTGGCCCGCAAGGGCTTGCCCTCGCCTTCTCCCCGGAGGACAGCGGTTAGTCAGTACAAGTCACCCTTTGGGTGGCGGATGCCCTAGTGGTGCCCGGGCCTGGCTCAGCGCTAACGTGCTTGCGGGGTGCCTACCTGAGCAGAGGACTCCTTTGTTCCTGGCACAGGAGAAGTTGTCACACTGGCAGAAAGCGCCGTAGATCTTCCCGAACTCGCTCTCGAAGCAGGAGCACTGGTTGCAGCTGCACTCCCCGCGCCCGCTGCACAGGGGCTTGCCCTCGGCTTCCCGGCACAGGTTCTGGTACCCGCTCTGACTCTCCCCTTCCTGGCACTCACACCTGGTGCCCAGGTGGCCGGGATTGCACTCGCACAGGCCGCACACGTAAGTCCCGTTCCCGCTGCACCTGGCGCTGTCGGGCTCCAGCCCCGCGCTGCAGCTGCACTGGCAGCTGTAGGTGACCCCCACCTCCAGGCTGTCCCGGAAGCCCACGGGCCGCAGCGTGAACGTGTGCTCCGCGGGCCTGCCCGGGCAGCTCCGGGCCTCCGCCGACACTTCGAAGGACGCCTGGGCGGGAAGAAGAGAGGGGCCGTTGCGTTGTGGCCGGCCAGGGCCTCCCGACCACCCCGGGGCCCGGCCCGGGGAACCGCCCCCCACCGCACGCCCCGCCCCCCAGGCCCTGGACCGAGAGCTGCGGCTGAAGGCCGGAGGAGGAAGGGGCCCAGACGCGGGAGCGCGCTCTCGGCGGAGGTCCGCAGCACTCAGGCGCGCCGACATTCCACAGGCACGTGACCTTTTCCTCCTCACCGCCCCGAGGGAACGAGGAAACGGGCTTCTGCAGAAAGGCAGCCGGACGCGCTCAAGGGCACGCGGTTCTAGCTCCCCTGCGGTTCACTTTTATCCGACCCGCTCCCCTCTCCATTTTCAAAGTCACTCATTCCGTGAATACTTACTGGGCACCTCCTCTGAGCCGGGCGCTGAGCTAGACGTGCCCCCGACGTCACGGAGCACGGGGGTCCACACACCCTGGCAACTGCCTGCCCCTCTGCAGAAGGGCTTCCTCTCGTGCTGGACAGGGGACGAGGGGCCCCGGGTCCCTTCCGGAGTGTCTGTCTCCCCACAGACACGCCTGAAGCCTCGCTCTGCCCCCGTGTCTCCCCGGACCGGTCCTCACAGCCGCATCCACCTTCCCCAGTCACGGCCCGTGGTCGTAAACAAGCGTCATCACAGACCAAACGCGCCCCGCACACGGACAGGCTTTTTCAACAAAGCCCGGGAAGAAGTGTCGCTAACTCCTGAGCTTCTCACGGGTCGCCCGCTGGCAGACGGCAGTGCGGGAGAGACGCGCGTCAGCCGCCCGCACGGTTGCGAGGTGAGCGGAGGCCGGCGCGGCTCGGCGGCGTTCTCCCCGGAAGCGGAGCGCCGTCCCGCCACCTCCCGGCCTCCCACGGGACAGGAGCCGAGTGTGGCTGGTCAGCCAGGCTTGCCCGGGGCCCGGCGCGTGGAGCTCCACAGCCAGGTAGCCGCCCGCCCTGACCAAAGGCCACCCTGAGACGCGTCTGCCCCGAACGGGGGGCGCTCCCGACGCGGACCCGGGCCTGGGCCCATTCCTCCAACTGATTCACTGCGGCTGGCCGAATGGCTTTATTTTTCAAGAGACTCGTTCTGAGGCTCAGAAGGGGTTAGAAACCACCTGCCTTGGGCTAGAGATGACCGAAGCCTACAGACAGGAAGGGGGTGGGGTGCCTGACCAAAGCTACCCATGGGGTTGTCAAGAATGCACAGGTGAACATCCCTCCCTTTGGAGAGAAGCCATGACTTGCTCAAGGCCACCACTTCCCGGGGTTACAATGGTGTAGGACTTGTTAAATGAAAAGTCCTTGCCTCCCAGCCATCAAAAGGAATGAGATCTTGCCATTTGCAACGACGTGGATGGAACTGGAGGGTATTATGTTGAGCGAAATAAGTCAAACAGAGAAAGAC